AGGCTGCAGGGTTTGCCTACACATCACCCCAATATTCCATTGCATCTTGTCCAGCTGGCCTGGAACTTGTTATGCAGACAAGGCTGGCCTTGATCTCACAGAAATCTGCTTGCCTATGCCTCCCGAGTGCTGGGATTAAAGGTGTGCACCACCATGTCCAGCTTTTAGTTTTTTGAGACACATAGCCCAGGTGAGGCTTGCACTCAATCTGTAGCCAAGGATGACCTTGCACTCCAAATTCTCCTCCACCTCCCAAGTGCTGGGATTACAAGTGTGGCTGCCATACCTAGCTTTCTAGTTTTTGTTATGCCTTTCTGTGAGCCTTCTACTTCTGGCCTGACTTCTCTATTGTTCAGTCAAGCAGAGTGAGTTGAGTGGCTTGTGCCTCTCCCACAGGATTGGACTCCTGGAGAGAAGGGCCTAGCCACCAAGGACTCTTACCAGTTCCCTGTCTCCTATCCTAAAGGGTGTCAGTCATTCTCTGACCTGTTCTTATTGCCTTGCTTTTTTTTTCTCTCCTCCTCCCTTTTTGGGGGTCAGCATTTGTATTCTTTCTCCCCCCATCCTCCCTTCTTTCCTTCATCAAACACTGAGGGCCGACTGTGTGCTGGGTATGCAGAGGCTCACCTAGGCAGGAGTTCAGAGTCAACTGAGGGAGGCCAGTGTGTAAACAGACCAGCACAAGTAGGGGTGAGGGCCAAAAAGGAGGGAGGGAGCCACTGGGGAAACTGGAAAAGGTGCCCCGGAGGAGATGTCTGAACTGATGGTTCAAAATGGACCTAGAATTTACCAGGTAGATTAGCAGCAGCCCTGCAGTGGGGAGGCAGAAGGGCAGAGCTGAGCTGCCTGGGGGAGAGCAGCAGATCAGCAGGTTGAGGGTGGAAAGAAGAGCAGGAAGACCAGGGGACCCGATGAGGGGTGGGCAACTGCAGGGCAGTAGCCAGGAAGGTGGCAGGATCGGGGCTGGGTTGCAGATAGCTGTGGATGTGGGAGAGAGGCAGGTGTGTGAAGGGGAGGCTGGGGCAAGTGTGGCTAGGGTGATTACCAGAATCCAGGAAGACACAATAGTGGCCTGGGCTTGCCTGGTGGAGCAGGAATAGAGAAGCAGATACTGTGGTTAAGTAGTGGTAAGGCTCTTGAAGCCATGTGGGGTAGGAGGAAAATGAGGTGAAGATTCTGGCTGTTGTAGCTCTGGGGGATGGAACCTTTTCTTGGATACTGACTGGGTGCTTAGAAGGAAGCAGATGTGGGGATAGGGAGCAGTTAATGCTGAGTCCACATTGATAGACTCATCTGGGTGTCAGGCCTGATGCTCAGGAGGGAATATGGTATCCAGATTAGAGCTATAGACTGGGGAATGTCTGTCTGGAGGGGATATTGAGCCTGGGGGGAGGTGTGTGGAGTAGAGCACTTATGCTGGTTGTACCTCAGGGTCAATCTGTGGTGTCTTCAGGAGTCAGTTAAGTTTCCCATTCACTTGCCTGTCCCCTCTCACACTACCCTTTCTTTCTAAAATTTTTTCTATTTTATGTGTATCAGTGTTTTGCCTGCATGTATTTAAGTGCATTATGTGTATGCAATGCCCATGGAGGCCAGAAGGGAGCATCGGATCTCTGGAACTAGAGTTACAGATGGTTGTTAGCCACCATGTGGGTGCTGGGAACTGAACCCTGGTCCTCTGTAAGAGCAGTCAGTGCTCTTAACCACTGAGCTATCTCTCCAACCCCACACTAGCATTTCTTAAATGCCTCCCTTTCCTGCTTCCTACTCCCCACCCTGTTGCCCCAGGCCAGGCCCAGGACCTCAGTATGTATATATGACAGGAATGAAGGGAATCTGGAGTTCTGCACCAGCCAGTGGAGCGTGAGAGCAGGCAGATAGATCCCTGATGTGTTCTCCATTAGACTTTCCTGCCATCAGACCCCAGGAAAGGGCCTCCTTTGATCAGTTTTCCAGTCTTTAGTCCTCCCTTTGCTGTAGAGAGACACTGCCATTCCCCTGTTCTGTCCCTTTCACAGCAGTAGTTATTTTCATGGTTTTGAGTGGAAAAAAAAATTTCTGAATCCCAGACCCTGGTATTAACTTCACAGTTTGAACGCAGGGATGGGATGGGACTGAGGATAGTAGGGGTGATTTATGACCTGTGGGCTATTAGTGACTAAGTGGGGCACAGGGCTGACACCATGCTCTTAAAGGCCCCTTCTTGGCCTCTGGATCAGGGCTCAGGTGACCAACCCTCTAACACGTTCTGATGTGAGTGCTGGATGATCACTCAGCCCAGAGGTCTTCACGTGGCATTGCTGAACCAATTTCTTTTTAATTTTTATTGCATTTATTTATTGTGTGTGCATGTGCGTGTGTGTGTGTTCATGTGCATGTATGTGTACAGTGTGGGGGGTGCATGTGCCATGACACTCGTGCACAGATCAGAGGAAAACTTATAGGACTCAGTTCTCTCCTTCCTCCATGTGGCTCCTATGACTCAGGCCATCAGGTTTGGTGGCAAGTGCCTTTATCCGCTGAGCCACCTCACTGGCTCTTTTTTGGCTTTTTGAGACAGAGTCTATGTGGTTATGGCTTCCACTTCCTGTGTGGTGGGACTGTAGTATGTGCCACCATGTCCTACTTTTATGATTCTGGGAATCAAACATAAGGCATTGGTCCTCTGGGACTGGAGTTATGGATGGTTGTTAGCCGCCATGTGGGTGTTGGGACTTGAGCCTGGATCCTCTGCAAAAGTAGTCAGTGCTGTTAACCGCTGAGCCATTTCTCCAGCCCCCTATTTCAATTTTTCATAAATGTTTTATTACTTCCCATATGCTCTGCAGTGAACAGAAAAAGCTAAGGGAAAATCCCTCTGGGAAGTAGGAAGTAATGAAACCAAACATACCTAGAGACTAACTTTAGGAGTCAAAGTGTCAAATCACTAGTATAATCTTTTACTTCACAGGATCCAGTAAATACAATCATGCATTGTTTAAAAACAAGGAAATGTTCTGAGAAATCTGTCCTTAGGAGATTTTGTTGTGCAAACATGGTGGAGTATGCTTATACAAATGAAGACATCTGTGACATCACTGGGTGGTATAGGGTTAGGGAAATGTGTCATATGTATGAACTGCCAATCATTGGCCAGACACTATGCAGTGTATGACTGTGCGTGTTGCCATATGTGCCAAACCTCTACGAGGTTGAGGACAGGGGTCACCAGGCCACATGGCTGTGACTAGAGTGAGATCACCTGCATCTTCACACTGTAACACTGGGAAGGGCCTGTCCTTTGGCAGGATTAACTTTCCTGATCTGTGCAATGGTGTGGTCGGAAGGAGTCAGAATAGATCATCTCTGAAAGTCCTCAAAGACCTTGGGCTGAATCAGCAGTTCTGGTCTTGAGAGGATTTTTTCTTTTTCTTTTTTTGGTCTTTTTGAGGCAAGGTCTCCCTGTAGCCACAGCTGAGTTGGAACTCACTATGTAAACCAGGCTGGCCTTGAATTTACAGAGATTGGCCTGCCTCTGCCTTCTGAGTGCTGGAATTAAAGGTATGTGCCACCACACCCGGCACTAGGATTTTTACTTTTAATTTAATTATTTTGTGTGTATATATGTGCATATGTGTGTTGTGGGAATACATGCACATGTGTGCACATGCTTGTAGAGGTCAGCCTCGGGTGTTATTCCTCAGAGGCTGTCTTCTTGTTTTCTGGACAGTGAGCCCTGGAGACCCACCTGTCTACACCACCCCAGTGCTAGGGTTACAAGTGTGTGCCACCGTACTTGCCATTTTTATGTGGTTTCTGAGGATTGAATTCAAGTATTCGTGCTTATAAGGAAGCACTTTATGGACTGAGCCATCTCCCCAGCCTGAAGACTAGAGCTTTGACTTGGTTGGATCACAGAGCTGAGAGTTTCAGGCTTCAGGTTACAGCCATTTATTTGCAGAGGGACCACCATGCAGACCTTGTCACCAATTCTAGACATCACTCTGCCCTGTCTTGACCTTGCTTCTTGGCCACTCCTCTTGTCTGGTCAGCCCCTGGGTTCACTCGGTTGGGGCTAGTCTGATGTCTCACTTTGCTGATGCTGCAGCTCTGGAGGAGCAGGAATGGGGGACCCTGTTCTGTGGAGCTGGTGGGTGAAGTCAGGACCTCAGAGGATACTGGAGAGCCCTACCAGCCCAAGGAAAGAGCATCTCTTCCTTCTAGGACGTTTTTCAAATGGTTTGACTGTCATGGCTGAGGTATTCTGTCTGAAGCTGACTGAAGCCACTTCCTGGTGTGGGGCAGCCCCATTCCTCCCAGCTACACTCACCTTTGGGCTGTCTGGAATTCACCTTCCCCATCTTTAACAATATTCAATAAAGGATCCCATGCACAGTGGCCTTTCCCAGAACCTGACATTTACGGTAATACTGCCCAGGCACCTCTGAAACTTCTGCTTTCAACATGAACAAATCTCAGAGTCCTTCCTCCCTTTGCCCTTCTCCAGGGTGGGGCTGGAAGCTCCGCTCTGCCTGGACTGCCATTGCCTGGAACTTAGACTGAAGTGGACAGATTGATTTTCTTTCCAGCCCAGACATTAACTGAACTTCAGGTTTCCAGGCAAGATGCTGTGGGAGACACCTCAACAAAACCAGTGTCCCTCCCACCCAGGAAGATACCTCAACAAAACCAGTGCTCAACCTACCAGTAGACAAAATGCAAATGAAGAAGACATATTTTTGTATGTCAAACTGGCAGAGGTGAGAAAAAGCTAATATCCAGAGTAGGCTTGAATGTGCGGAAATGAGAACCCTTTCAGAGTACTTGTTGCTGGGTTAATTGGCACAGCATCCAGAAAGCAGTTTAAAGGTGGCTCCAAATTGTGATATCTTAAACTTCACCTGGAACATCACGGTCAGGCTAGGGTAAGGGACAGAGGCATCTGCCTTGGGCATGATAGAGCTAATAGTGTAAGATGTCCCCACAGCTCCCCTTTTTGACATGGATGCATTTCTGTCTAGCAACCAACAAATGCTTGGAAAGACAGCTCCTCTGAAGAGCTCTGTGCACTTCGTAGAGAAACCAGAAAAGGTCGTCCAGGAACCTCCAGATGACAGGTAAGGCCAGAAATAAATCCAGATCAGGGAAGGGTGGGAAGTCAGGGGAGGTGACCTGTTAGAAAGGGGACACTTCAGGGGCTGTGGAGATGACTCAGCTCGTAAAACACTTACTTTGCAAGCATGAGGATGTGAGTTTGATCTCCAGCGCCAATATAAAAGGAAAACTAATTATGGTGTGTGTTTTTAATCCCAGTGCTGGGAGGTAGAGATAGGCGCTCTGAGGCTCACTGGCCAGCCAATCGGTGAGCCTAATCGGTGAGCTCCAGACTGGTGAGAGACCCTGTTTCAAAAGAGGTCATCTTGGATGGAGAGATGACTCAGCAGTTAAGAGCACTGGCTGCTCAGAGGACTGGGTTCAGCTCCCAGCATCCACATAGTGGCTACCAACCCTCCCTAAATCCAATTCCAGGGGATCTGATGCCCTCTTCTGGCCTCTGTGGGCATTGAATGCTGAGTACACTTACATACCTGCAGGCAAAACACTCATACACATTTAAAATTTTAATTAATTTTAAAAGAGGTCATCTTGAAGATGATACCTGAGGCTGTCCTCTGACTTCCACAGGCATGTGCATACATGTGCACCTACACTGTAACACATCCTGGGAGACAGACTGAGGCTGAGCATACTTTTGGGGACAGGGTACTCATACCTGCCTGGGAAGAATGGCTTTCTGTGCCCCATCCCCTAATCCAGGAATACCTTTGCATAGGGATGAGCAGTGTGCTCCCTGTGCTTATCACTTAGCTGTACTGTTTAGAGAAGGGCTCTAGTCTCCAATCTCTTCCCCAATCTTCTGGCTCAAAGCCAGGGCAGAATTGGCACTGAGGCTACACGGGCAGGACTCAAGGGTTCCTTGTCCCTGGAATGGAATGTCTCCTTTGCAGTCTGCACTGGCCAGAAGGCTTGAAGGGTGAAGAGATAAAGAAGTATGGCCGGGAAGGGGTAAGTATGTGAAGGCTGCCTTTGAACTGCTCACCGAGGGAGGTGCCCAGGGCTGCCCAAATTCACTGTTGACTCCTCAGCCACCAGGTCTGATAGTAGGAACCCAGGAGACCTGAGTGAGTGTCCTTGCCTAGGTAGGAATATTGTGTCCCCTCCAGTAACTGGCTGTGTGTCAGGATCCAGCATTATCAGATGAACTGTGCTTGGAACTTAGCCCTCCACACCCACTGGCTGTTTACCAGCCGCTTTGTGCAAAGTTCCCAGGAAGGGGGTGGGAACTGTGACAGCATTTCCTGGTGGCTGGAGCAGTGTCCTTTGGTGGTCTAATCTCCAGCCTCTCAGAACCAGGCCATGTATTTGCAGACACTGTTGAGTAAATACAACCAGCAGTACCACAAGCTGTTTAAGGATATCCCCTTGGAGGAGATGGTTCTCAAAGGTGAGCTGTTTCCAGGGTATGGCTGGTGGGCAACCCACAGTGCCTAGCATCCAGGAGTCTAGGCATGGTTTAGATATGGGAACAGTTTATATGCATTTGGTCCCTTTTTTTCTTCAAAAGCATGAGAAGACAGGGCTGGTTTGGGATATGGAGTTGACTTTCTGAAGGTTTACTTGAGGATATGTAAGACTTCCAACTCTTCTGTTCTGCTCTTATCAGTGACTACTGTCTCTTGCCCAGGCTTCTTGCTGAGCATGTAAGGGCATTGCACAATCAGAGCCCTCTTTCCAGGGCAGGGCAAAGCCTCTTCCTGGGAAATCCGGGATTAGAGACCTGGACAGGAACCTGCTCAAATCCTATGGGTTATTGGGGGGCGAGGGGAAGTCAGGACATCTAGCAGTTTGATGGGGTAGAGTGAGACACTTAGAATTCTCAGGTGGACTCTTTGGGTGTTTGTGGGGATAGATTGTTTGAGGATGGGAACAGGTGCTATGGCCAGACTCTGAACTTCTGAGTGTGTGGATCCAGGCCCTGGGGCTTCTCTGGGTTAGCCTTGCTCATGGCAGTCTTGTTTCCTGTCACCTCTCAGTGTGTTCCTGTGCCCTCCAGAGGGATCTTCTTCTCCAGGGCCGGCTCTACATCTCCCCCAACTGGCTCTGCTTCCATGCCAGCCTCTTTGGCAAAGACATCAAGGTAGTAATGAGTGGTAAGGATTGCTATGACAGCGTTAGGCCCCAGTTCAGGGGAGGGACAGCCTCCTGCCCTGCAGGTCTACCTCAAGCCAAGCCATACCATCCCTCTGTGTGCTTAGCACATGGTGAAGCCTCTCACAGGTTGAACAGCATCAAGGCATCTCATCCCATTTTCAGGGAAGTAGTCCTCCTCCTAAAACATGGGCCCCAGAGTTGACTCTACATCTAGCCTAAACAATTCAAAGTTAAATCATTCTGGCTTCAGGTATCTCAGAAATGCTTTAAGGGTCAGAGTGGGGTGTCATGTTTAGGGGGAGTCATTAGTGTTACTAAGAGCTAGTTCAGGGGACTCCATGATTCAGCAGAGCAGCCATCCCGAGTCCCGGAAAACAGATCAGGCACAGGAGAGAGTAAAGCAGCATGTGCTACAAGGCTGGGCAGGGAGGTGGGGATAGTTGAAGGGGATCCTGGATGAGAAGGTAGAAGGCCTAGATGCTTCTCTGGGGTGTGTATACTTGGCTGAATTCCAGTTATGTCTGCACCTCCAATTCCCCATGCAGGGGAACGGTGTTCTGGGGGTAAGGCATGCCTCTCCCTCTCAGGTGGTCATTCCTGTGGTATCTGTGCAAATGATCAAGAAACACAAAATGGCGAGACTCCTTCCCAATGGACTGGCTATCACCACCAACACAAACCAGAAGGTCAGTGAGTCTCTGGACCATCTCCCCATCCTAGCTCTAGAAACCTACAGCCTGATGCTGGCCTACTCCCAGACTTTTATTTTTTCCTTCCCTATAGCCTTCCAGCAGATATTTCAGGCAAACAAGCTGGAAGAGACTTTCCTGGGCAGGTGTTTTGTTGTTCTCATAGCCCCATATCCCCATGGGCCTGCCCCAGCCCATGGATGTAGCCTTCTGGTACAGCCAGAGGTATTCTCTCACCCCAATTCTTGTTTTCTTTTTACATCCCAGTATATCTTTGTGTCACTTCTTTCCCGGGACAGCGTATATGACATGCTGAGGAGGGTCTGCACCCACCTACAGGTATGGAGCCCAGAGGTTGGAGTTAGGTAGGGAGACTGCACAGGTCTGAACCTAGGTCTTGGCACAAGGCTGTTTGGGGAGATCAGCTTGTCTCTTGAGCACAGGGATTATGAGCAGAGAGAGGGTTTTGACTAAATGCCCAGGCTCAGTGTACCAGAGGCTGTACTTGGACTGAGCATCGATGAGCATGTCTTTTGGCTAGTAGGTCCTTGTGTATCCACATGCACACATTTGTTCACCTGTGCCTCCGTAATATACACATAGACAGGAATGTACAGCAGTTTCTCAATATACCCTACCATCCTCTCTGGCCTAAGGTAAGGAAGGGGAGCAGGGAGGGGCAGTAGCTTAGGAAATGAGTTGACTGGGATTTGCACCTCTGCTCAGGTACCAAATAGCAGCCCCCTCCATATACACAAATGCTGGGACCTGCGCTTCACCTGAAATCAAGTGGTTTGTTAGGAGCATGTCAGTATCTCCCCATGTTTGATCCTGCCTGTTCCCTTTCCTCCTCAGCCTTCCAGCAAGAAGAGTCTGAGTATAAGAAAACTTCCAAAGGAACCTGAGTTCGAGTCTCTGGTGAGAGCTAAGGCTGGAAGCAAAGGCTGCTGGCCTGAGATGATAATGGTTCCAAGACTTTGGGGTCACTATGTAGAACTGGGGTACCTGGCTCCAGAGCCAGCAACCACACTATACATAGGGTCTCCCAGATTCCATGCCATGTAGAACACTTAGGTCCTCAGCAGATTGGCTGACTCTGAGCAGAACAGAAATCCATCCTCTGAATGCTGGCCAGGTTGGGTCCCACAGAGAACGGATGCAAGGCCCGTGATCCATCTTTGTTTTCCTTTGTTGGAGTCAGGAGGGCCTTCAAAGAAACAGACATTTCCCTAGACAGAAATTCCAAAGCCACCACTGTACAGCCTGGACTTCGGCTTTGTTGAGGTTCTGGCAGTTTCCTTTGCAAGCTGAGACCCTGGGTAGGGCAGAAATGGAATTGGCAGTGACTTCAGGGTGTTTGAAGCCTCCTAAGTACCTATTAAGCATTTATCCAAGCATGCAGTATGCAGGATACCACGCAGGGGACAGAAGATGATGTTCCCTCTTTTTTGTTGATAGGGATTGTAAGTCACCACTATCAAGGTCAGGGACCTGTTCAAAGTCTAGATTAGAAAGAGCCATACCTTATACCATCTGAGGCATGCTGTGCCAAGTAGTCTTGGACTCAGATCTGAGCATGTACCTGGGTTTACTGACCTAAGATAGCTGTTGTTGTGGTTCTTCACTAGTGGTCTTCAAAGATACTGTTTTGGGGGAGGGGTGTCACCTTTCTTCACTGGTAAGTTGCTCGTGTTCCAATAAATGATCTCCTACCCATGCTCATGCAGGCAATTCTCATTAAACTCAGTGGGCCAAAAGGTAGACATGAAAGAGGAGGATAATTGACAAGAAGAAAGGGGTCAGGTCAGCAGGAGTGGGAGGGAAGGGGACAAGAAAAGGTTGTGGGTGAATGTTATCCAACACATTGTACAGATGTATGAAATTGTAAAACTTGGTGTTGAATTCAACCAAATGTCTTTTCAATAATGATATGAATAGTTATTAATTTAAAAATAATGTTTTCTGGCAGAGGAATGCTACAGTAAGGGAATAGATAGGAGAGATGTGATTGTTACATTTCCATTCCTAACTGGGCGTCTGTATTGGTAATGTCTGGAGAAAGTCTTGATGAGCCTGGAGTGGACTCCTTAGGACAAGGGAGACCTCAAGTTCTGCCTCCACTGCAGGAAGTCCTTATCCCTGAAATGAAATGGAGAAAAGTGTGCCCAGCTTCCACGTCCCTGTCACTTCCAGACAACATCTCTTGTATCCCTCGGGTACCCACGGACTCCACAGATAACTGCTTCCCCTCCAGAAAACCTCCAGGGTCTGGTGAGTTCAGGATCTTGCCTGTGGCAACTGCTTGCTGAGGCTGGACTTTCTCTCTTCATTCTATGGAAAGGGCTTAGCACAGCCAGCCAGGTTTCTGAGAACTATTTCTTTCTTTCTCCAAATCTATATGGAAAAGCCAAGAGCCCGAGCAGCTTCAGCACATGAAGGGAGGGGGAGCTGCTCCACTTTGGCTGGGGTCCTACATGCCCCAGGAAGATGCCTAGCTGTCTCCTATTGCAGAGACTATCATCTGTGAGGAAGAGGCGTTGGAGGAGGAGACCACCATGGACCAGGAATTGAGGCTCTGGGATTCCAGGCTCCTCAAAGTCATCTTTGTGATGTAGGTGACTATATTGAGGGAGGAGGGGGGACCCACCTGGGTGAGAGTGACTAGTCTTTAGAGAGTGGGGAGGTGATCACCTAGACCCAAGGGAATGTTCAGAGCCAACTTCAAGCTCTTGGAGGGTGTCTGAAGGCCCCATGGCTCACCCTTCCAGCTTTATTCCTTAGGCTTCAGGTGGTGCTGTGGTGAGGGGCAGGTTGTGAATCTGTCAGGAAAAGGAAAAGTTCTGCCCAGGCTTGGGGAGGGAGAGGGCCAACAGAGAATTGGGGAGACCATCAGATAACTGGAAGGAATACTAGCCAGGGAAATATGTGTTCTCCCTACTGCATATTGTTAGGACAGTTCCCAGAACCCCTGGCCTCTCTGTGTCTCTGTCTCTGTCTCTCTGTCCCTGTATTTATTTTCTTATACAGAGTCTCCCTGTAGCCCCAGCTGACCTGGAACTCACCAGCCCAGCCTGTTTTACATAGTTTCAGTCTCACAGAGATTCACCTGCCTCTGCCTCGTGGCCACGTGCTGTGATTAAAGACATGTGCCACTGTGCCTGGCTCCCTCTTTTTATACGTGTGTGCACATGTGTATAAATGTTCACATGTGTATGAACACATGTATACGTCTGTGCACATGGAGACCAGAGAGTAACATGAGGTATCTTTCTTGATTTTATTCTCTACTTTATATATTGAGGCAGAGTCTCTTGCTTGAACCCAGAGCTTGTCAGTGTGGCTAGTTTGCTCCAGCTAGCCAGTTTGCTCCAGGGATCTCCTGTCTCCACCTCCTAATCACTGAGATTACAGGTGGCCTCTATGTCCACCTGACATATATGTGAGTGCTGGAGATCCAAACTCTGGTCCTCATGCTTGTACAGCAGACACTTCACCCACTGGGCCATCTTCCCATCCCTATACTTCTTTTTGTTGTTTATTAAGACAGGGTCTCACAATGTAACCTAGGATTGCCTTGGCCTTGCTTTGTAGTTCAGGCTAGGCTTGAACTCCTGAGCCTCCTGACTCAGCCCCCCCCCAGGTAGCTGGTATTATAGTCATGTGCCACTATATCAGGCTCCTCTGGATCTCTTTGTAAGAACCAGTAAGGAGCACAGTGGGAAATTACAGGTTCAGCTGAAGAGCCTGGAGTTCCTGCTGGGCTATAAGGACTTTTCTGTGGGGACAAGTCTCAGGCCACTCACATTGCCTCTAGGAAAGATGATACCAAGGCTTCTTAAATGAACATGTGCAAAGGATGCTTTAATTTGTCCAACTGCGGGAACAATGTAGTTTTCATACCTGTTTCTATTAAGCATCTACCGTTGTAGAGAACGGTTCAGTTCCTAGCAGGGCACATGATGGTACATACCTGCAATTCCATACCTTCACTTGGAAGTTAAGGCAGGAGGATTGTGGGTTTGAGTCCAACCAGGACTACTTGTTAAGTTCCAGATCAGTCTGGAGCTACATATTCAGACCATCTTATTAAAAAAAAAAAGGGGGGGTGGGGGGACTGGAGATATAGCTAGTTCATAGAATGCTTGCCTAGCATGCCCAAATGCCTGAGTTTAATTTCCCAGCACTACATACACTGGGCATTTGGCACATGCCTGTAATCCTAGCAACTGGGAGGTTGAGGCAAAAGGATCAAGAATTCAAGGTCATCTGCAGCTACATACCAAAGTTGAGGCCAGCCTGGCCTACATGAGACCCTGTCTCATGAAGACAAAACAAAATGGGATAGAGAGATGGCTCATTGATTAAGAACATTTTCTGTTCCTGCAGAGGACCAGAATTAGTTCCTAACACACCCACATTGGGTAGCTCAGAACCACTTATATATAACTCCAGCTCCGGGGAATCTTATGTCCTCTTCTGGCTTCTTTAGGCACCCCCACACATGCACATATACACACACAAACATACACATATATACATAGATAAAAATAAGCACACCTGTAAAATAAAAGCGAAAAATGAAGAACCAGGGCCAACTCCTTGCTGCCCCTGTTTCTCCAGGATCTGCTTCTTAGTCATGTCCTCATCCTATCTGGCATTCCGAATCTCCCGGCTGGAACAGCAGCTATGCTCCTTGAATTGGGGTGGTCCACTCCCAGGGCACAGGTGAGGCCCTTTCTCTCCCTAATGCCTTTGGGTTGAGGGTAGAAAGGTAAGGGCCAGGCTGCTTGTTACCCTGGCTGAACTCAGCTTTGTTTTGAGCTGACTTGAAGGCCCCAAGCAAGGTTGGGCATGTATATGGGGTACCATAGATCTCACCCTTGGCCTACTCTCAAGGAGGAGCAAGATCTCTGGGCCTTTCCTCTGATCTGAGATCTTTCCTGTGTGCAGGTAACAGCCACTTGATCTTCATCCCCACACCTTCTCCAAGAAGAATGCTCTAGGTGCTAAGTCTCTACCAACAATTCCTGGGGTTTATGGTGCTGCTGTGCTGACACTGAGTATGAAGGAAAACATTCTAGATCCCTTTTCCACGCCCCTAAGTCTTCCCTCAATGAGTGATCTGAAATACCTAATTACAAATTAACTGGCTCCTACAATTTTTGGACTCAAAAAAGGTAGATTTTCTTTTTTTGGAACCAATTGAGAAATTCTGTACACACTAAGCTTCAGCGAACACTTATGAGGGGAAAAAATTAACTTGTTCTTTGGAAACAATGGTTCTGGCACACAGGCAGAGCCCTGAGGGCCACCTCCAGGGCCAAAAGGCATGCTTTGATACATGGAATGCAGCTTGATGTCTCATGTGTGAGTGTTGCAGGACAGTAACAGGGGCCGAACTGCAAACCACGATGAGCTCTGCTCTCCCCCAGAATTCTGTACTGTCACCTGGGACTCTCAGAATCCTTATTTTGGAGCCCATAGGACTTTTTGGCAGGAAGCCAGGCACCTAGGGGCCTATGAGAAGGATGGGGTGTCAAGAAGAGAGCTCATGGTCAAGATTCCAGCAAGAGACAAAACTTCATGCTCTGAGCTGAACTGAGGCTCTGGCCTGACCCTGTGTGAGGAATCTGGCTGAGCTTGGAAAGATGTGCCCACATCAGAGGCTGGGGCTGAGATTAGAGGTCCCAGAATTCCCTTTCCTTAGCAATCCACTTTTTGGTGAGACAGGTGACACAGAGACTTTGGTCCCTGGTACTAGGGCTATCCCCCATGTGCACAAGATAGCTGTGTACTTCCTAACTGCCCAGATGTCAGGCATAACTATCTGTACTTGTCAGGGAGGGTTGGCTGGACAGTGAGCAGTGATAGTGTTGAACTACCTCAGGACAGAGTTCACTCATGTCATCTATAGTCAGTATGTTCCAGGCCACTCTGTGGGATCCAGTCACCCTGAATAAGATAGATGCATCCAAGGTGGACCAGGTTCATTGCAGGGACCAGGTGAAGCCTGACCTATTTGGAGAGAAGACAGGTAGTGATGAGATGGGTGGACACTGATGGTTTTGCCATAGAGAGTCGTCCTCTGTCCATATTCCCCAGGACTCTCATCTGCTAAAACAGTGCTTTTGGAAGTTCTAGAAAGACCTTTGTGAGGACAGAGATACCAGGGAAAGGTGATAGTGATGGAGTGGGATGATATCAGAAATAGCCACTGTTTCCCCCTCTCTCTTGCTGAGTGGGGGGCAGGGTAGCTGGGAGAGAAAATTATTGCAGAACTGATTGTCTATCCATGACAAATCCAAAAACACTGGATGGGTGGACAGTAGGTGACAACTCTTTGAGGTCTCTCAGGAGACGGTTCAGTCTTGTCTCAGGTGAAACCCATTGTCCATCTCGTTCCCTTCACACTGACATATCAGATGAACGCCCATCCTTTTTGTTTTGAACCAGCTCCTCTTATCACTCTCTTCCATCATATTTTCAGGGAAACAGTCCCCCTTGTCCAAGTGCTTTCCCTCCCTGGTCCCTGCTGAAAGGCAGGGAGAACAAATCCATTCTGATCCTTGCTAGGTTGGACATAAGTAGATGTGCCAACATGCTGGGGAACCTGGTCTCTAGCTAGACCTGGGTTTAGAAAGGGCAGGAGGCAGGCTGTAGTATAGGTGGCTTTGGAAACATGCTTGGGGGCCAGGGCTTGGAGTGGTGCAGGTGTACCCATCCTTCCGGAGGCTCTTCTCCCTGCCTTTCCCCTTTGTCCCCCATCCTGCTCCTCTGGAGCTGCTTACTGTGTGTTCTGTTGTGCTCGTGTATAAACTTTGAGTGTTTATACATTCCTGCTTGAACTGGCTAATGCCCCTCTAATTCTCTGAGGGTTTGGTTCAACCACCCTTGGGTTGTTCCACTATGGCCATTAGCCTTTGAAAAAATTTTAGATGGGTTCAATCCCCAGTACGGCAAAAAATTATTTGAAATAAAAGCTTGATTTTTCTAGTGTCCTGTGTTGTGGAAGTTCACTTTTGCCTTGTGTGTGTGGACACGTGTGTGTGTGTGTACACGTACACATATGTATGCTAGCCAAGGGACAACCTCAGGTGATTCCTCAGGCATCATCTACCCTGAAGCAAGGTCTCTCAATGAGGAGCCTAGACTGGCCAGTGAGGCCCAGGAATGTGTTTTCTTCTCTCCAGCGCTAGGTTTATAAGCATGCACCATCATATCTGACTCTTTTTTTTTTAAATCTGAGTGCTGGAATCAAACCTAGGTCCTCATATTTGTGTGAGCACCTGTTTTTATCTTTTGACTATTCATTAAAGGTACTGACATTTTACCAAGGAAGGAGACCAGTGAAGACCAAGTCATTCTCAGGATCTCAAGTACTGTGAAAACTGCACAGGATTTGCCGAGCTGACTTGAGTACATGAGGAAGGGTAAAACCGAGTATGGTAGTGCATGCTTATAAACCTAGTACCGGGGAGAAGAAAACACATGGATTCCTGGGCCTTGCTTCAGGGTAGATGATGCCTGAGTAAACAGTCACAGTCTTCCGCTTTTGCTGGGTAGACACTGGGAATGATTCATTTCTCTCAGGCAAGTGAAAGATTCATATTTGAATCAAGAAGCAGTGTGTGGAATTTGAAGCCATAAAACTCCTGTGGTCTCTTCTATAGCTGCCTAGGGAGGCTGAATTTAATCTGGGGTCATATCACTTTTAAAAATTTATTATATGGGTAGAGGAGATGGCTGTCAGTAAAGTGCCTGCTATACAAGCATGAAGACCTGAGTTTAGACTCCCGGAACCCATGTGGAAGCTGGGTGTACATCAGGTAACCCCAGAACTGGGGGCAGAGACAGTCCCTAGAATTCATAGGACAGCCAATCTAGTCAAATTGATGAGCTCTCGGTTTAGTGAGAGACCCCTTCTCAAAAAATAAGGTATAGTTGGGGCTGGAGAGATGGCTCAGTGGTTAAGAACACTGGTTGTTCTTGCAGAACACCCAGATTCGAATCCCAGCACCCACATGGCAGCTAACAACTGTCCGTAACTCTAGTCCCAGGGGATCCGACAGCCTCTTCTGATCTCCGCATAGCACGACATGGGTGCACTTACCTACATGCAGGCAATACCCGAATACACATAAAATAAAAATAAAGTATCAAAAAAAAAAAAAAGGTATAAGGGCTGGCGAGATGGCTCCCTGGGTAAAGGTGCTTGCCACCAAAGCCTTACCACCTGAGTTCAATTCCTGAAACCAAATGGTGGAAGAAGAGAACTGACTCCAACAAATTGTCCTCTGATTTCCATAAGCACATCGTGGTATGTGTTCATATGCATACACAAAGACACAATTGATAGCTAAGTATTCATTTTAAAACAAAAGGTGGAGAGTGGGACTGGAGAGAGATGCCTTGGAAGTTAAGAGTACTTGCTGCTCTTGTAGAGGACCCAAGTTCAGTTCCCAGCACCCACATGGCAAATTACAGCTGCAATTCCAGTTCCAGAAGATCCAACACCCTCCCTTGGCCTCTGGGCACCAGGCACACACATGGTACATACACACATATGTGCAGGCAAAACACTCATATACATAAAATAAATCTTTTTTAAAAATGGAGAGTTGGGGCTGGAGAGATGGCTCAGTGGTTAAGAGCACTGGCTGCTCTTGCAGAGGACCCAGATTCAATTTCCAGCACCCACATGACAGCTAACTATCTGTAACTCCAGTTCCAGGGGATCCAATGCCCTCTTCTGACCTCTGTGGGCACTGCATGACACAGGTGCTTACATACATCCTGACACTCATACACATAAAATACAAATTTTTAAATATATATTTTATTTACTACTTTTATTTTATCTCTCCAGCCCGACTCTCCATTTTTAAAAAAATTTATTTATGGGGCTAGAGAGATGGCTCAGCAGTTAAGAACACGGGCTGTTCTTGCAGAAAACCCAGGTTCAAATGCCAGCACCCACATGGCAGCTAACAACTCCATAACTCCAGTCCTAGGGGATCCGACAGCCTCTTCTGACCACCACGGGCATTGTACAACATGGATGCACTTATCTACATGCAGGCAATACACACACATAAAATAAAAATAATGAAGTTTTTTTAAAAAGCTTTAAAAAAATACTTTTTTAAAAAAGTCATCAAGAAACCTGATATTGACCTCTGGTCTTCACACACGTGAGCACACATGTGCATGTGTACCCATATATACATATACATATGTACAAAAAAGTAAAAGTAAAATTATTTTTTTAAATTTATTTAGTTTTGGTCTTTTTGAGACAGGGTCTCTCTGTAGCCTCAGCTGGCCTGAAGCTCGCTATGTAGATGAGGCTCAGATTAAATGTGTGTACCACCACTCCTGGCTTATTTTTTTGGTTTTTTGAGACAGTGTCTCCCTGAAGCTACAGCTGGCCTGGAACTCCCTATGGAGACCAGGCTGGCCTTGATCTCACAGAGCTCCACCTGCCTCTGCCTCCCAAGTGCTGGGATTAAAAGGGTGTGCCATCCAGCAAACAACATTGGTGTAGTAGTAACACTTTTATCTTGGAGGTAATCAACAGCTACCTTAATTGGACTTGAAGCCCACTCAATGGGAGGAATCTCATGTGTGGTACTGTAAGCCTAGCTAAATACACATAGCTGGAGAGGTCATAGATCTTAGAGAAAACCCCAAGGCTGTCACCTCCATAGACAAATGTAATTTCTTACTATGTGCAAAATATGGTTCCTTAAACTGACAAACAAGTATCCCAGTCACCACCCATCAAAGAAGCTTCTTTTTCAACAGACATAGATTATTATAGAGTTCCACAACCTGTCACACACAGAGACTGTCTGTGAATTGCCCAAAGCCCAAGTGGCACATCTATGTTGCAACCTCTACACCAGAACACAGAACAAGGGATGAAGAGAACACTAAGGTATCTTTTAATTCTCATCAATGAAGTTCCCTCATGCAACAGAGGGCCAGGAACACAAAAGGCCACAAATGACCAAAACAGAAAATAAGGGTCTACAGAGTCTGGGCCCTTGGACTCCTATATTAAAACCCACCCACCCAGGACTCAGGGACCAATGCAAAAGAGGGTGGTAGAAAGATGGTCAGAGTCAGGGAAGCAGTGCATAACCATATGCAAATAGAGTCCTACAAGCTTTTGGGACCCTCCTCATATGAGCCTACAGCAATGGTGTCAGCATGCACAAGACCCATGCAAACTCAAGCAGACAAAAATCCAGCACAGAACTGTGCAAATGGACAGCAGGCCTCAATCTTAGTCAAATGATTGGCAGCTGATTATTACTGGGTGAGGAAGAGCTCATCTTCTTAAAGGGAGGGACTCTAGATAGGCTGCCTAGATCTCAGTGGATGAACCTGCACTGAGGGACATCTGGGATTACTACGTTAACATGAAAAGCCTTAACACAAATGACAGAATGTATGAATTCCAGTGGGGGGGGTGCTATGGGAGGGACCAGTGGGGAAGGAGGTATAAAGATGATTAAGATGTTCTGTATGAAATACACAAAAATTAAAAAGGGAAAGCATGTGCCAAGGTTACTCTTATTTTTGAGTAGCTCAGATTACTCTGAAACAAACTCATTATATAAGGTTGACCTTGAACTCATGGTGATCCTCCTGTCTCAGCTGCCTGAGTGCTGGGATAACAGATATGTACTACCACACCCAATTTACTTTTTAACAATTAAAATGGGGGTTGGAGAGAGATGGCTCAGTGGTTAAGAGCACTGGCTGTTCTTGTAGAGGATGTGGGTTCAGCTCCCAGCACCCACATGGTGGCTAATAGGTCTGACACCCTCTTCTAGCCTCTGTGGGCATTGCACGGCACTGATGAATTTACATACATTCAGGCAAAAGACTCCTACACATAAAATAAAAATAAAAGGTTTAATTTTAAAAATTTTTGTAGGGGCTGGAGAGATGGTTCAGTGGTTAAGAATACCTACTGTTCTTGCAGAAGACCTGGGTTTGCATCCCAGTACCCACATGGCAGCTAACAACTGTCCACAACTCCAATTCCAGGGGATCCGACAGCCTCTTCTGTCCTCCACGGGCATTGCATGACATGGGTGCACTTACCTACATGCAGACATAACACTCATACACATAAAATAATAAATAAAATATTTTAAAAAATTTTGTATATATGCAATCTATGTGTGGTGCACTGATGCACAGTTGTGGATGTGGGCACATACATGCCATGGCATGCATATGGAGGTCAGAGGACAACCTCAGGTGTCAGTCCTTGCCTTCTAGTTTGTCTGAGACCGGCCCTCTTTGTTGTTTTTCTGCTGCTTATGCCAAACTAGCCCAGGAGTCTCTAGAGCTCCTCTGTCTCCACCTCCATCTCCTCATAGGAGCACTTGGAGTACAGGTGTCTGCTCTGCTGCATCCAGCTTTTATTTAGGTTCTGAGAATGTGAACTTAGGTCCTCACATTTAAGCACTTTTACACACTGAGCCATCTTCCCAGCCCACTTTGCTATGGAATCTGGCTATATGGTCTAGGCTGCCCTTGAATTCTTAATCTCCCTGCCACAGTTTCCTGAGTCCTGAGATTACAGGTATGTGCCACCATGCCTGGCTCATATCATATCACTTTAAAGTTTTTATTTTATTATTTTTTGATTTTGTGTATCTGTATCTGTGTGAGTTTGTGCATGTAAGTGCAATGCTGAAATTACAGACTGCTATGAGCCACCTGATGTAGGTGCTAGAATTTGAACTCAGGTCCTCTGAAAGAGCAGTGCTCTTAACTGTTGACCTATCTCTCCTGCCCCCTAACATTTAATTCTTTATTTTTAAATATTTTATTTATTATTTTTATTTCATGTGTATGAATGTATTGCCTGCATGTATGTGAGTGCACTCGTGTCGTGTAATGCCGCGGAAGTCAGAAGAGGGCTCAAGATTCCC